GTAATTTGGCAAAAAGGGTAGAGGCAATATTAGTAAAGTAATTATTTAGGTCATGGTTAGACACTTCCTGAGGATCATTACAGACATTACTTCCTAACTTTAGTGCAATATTGTTTGTTTTAACTTTACCTTTACCACTTCCAAAACTATTTCGACAATTCCATAATTTGTTTGTGGTCTTTTTTGTTTGTTCCTAAAAAACTTAAAATAATATCAGTTTTACCCTTTTTTAATATCTTTTTGAATAGCATTTCTTAATTGCATATTGATCCAAGCGAACATTATTATTTTTATCCTTATTTAATGCCTTTAAAACACTCTCTCGTTTTTCAATCTATACTTAAAATTAGAATTCATCCACTTGTCTGTATGATGTTTAATACGTACAGTTTTTTAATGGAGCGATTTGATCCAGTGTTAATTAGAAAATATCTTTAAAAGTACGCCATGCAATATTTACATCATTTGTGCTAAAAATATTTGACTAATCCCTAGAGAGTAAGATATCATTAAATTCATCAACCTTATAGTTTTTAAATGATCTTATATTTTTATAAGTTATAGTTATTTTTTTAGTTTCTTTTTATATGTACAATATGTTGCGAAGTGGTCGCTTAGTCCAACTTCAATAACACCTTGTTTACTTATTTTACTTATATCACTGACAAGTATATGATCGATAATTGATGACGCAGTACTAGTCACTCTTGAAGGGACTTTAATGATTTGCGATAATAATACCAAATTTAGCATATAATTTTAGTCCTTGTATAACTTAGAAGATCTACATAGCCAGTTTATGTTGAGGTCCTCCAAAACATTTTTTTTGAGATAGGTGAAAGAACTTTACTAAAAAAAAAGTCTACAAATTTGTATTGGCCAGGGTCAATATACTGTACCGATAACAATTAGTTTAGTCTTAGAGGTGGAAAACAAGTTATCCTTGGCGAGGATGCATTATTTGATCATATCACTCTGATGAAATATGTTCCCACGATTTGGTTGCCAAAACCATCTTTAACAGCGTCCCAGTGGTAAAACTACAAGCAGCAGAGGCAGAATCTATCGACATATTTGCGCTTAGCATGGATGTTCGATGTAGCCGAGGCTACAAAATGGCCAAATGGAAAGAGCTGGCAATGTAAAAAAAACCCCGACCACCAATTGATACATTTTTATAAATATATTTGAAAACAGTAGGCCTATTATTGTTATTTATTGTTTATTATACGGATAGGGATGTTTATGAAATGGAATACGACCGATGTGTCGGTATGCTCAAGTCGAGAAATTACTTTAATAGGCAGGAGAAAGACCATAGATACATTGGTGGACAAATAGAATTACCTTGAATATAATTCTGCAATTAACCAACAGCCAATAGAGTTCGTTGATGAGAGAAGCAGAATGTGTGAGAGGTTCACATAAAAAGATCAAGCGTTTTGCAATCTCTGAACTATCAAGATCTTTTTTTAATAGACCACTATTCAGGGAACAATAGTTTGTTCGTCATAAGACTAGTGCTCTGACCGCTGCATAATATGTTTATTGATCAATAAATCTGCGTATCTTCCATAGATATATTATACGCAAGTGCTACCTTACATAGCTGCAGACCTTCCTAACCTGGGAACTCAATTCCAAAATATATGTCTCTTATCAGTTAATCTAGTGTCGGACTGTTATTATTGATGGGTGTGCAATACTATGACACACTACTCTGTCGGTTTCTGTGAATTTTACTTTGGTATGCATTATTACTCTTACATTTCATATCTGATGGCAATTGTGTATTGATGGATGCAGCATGTGAGTATCGAATGATGATTTTTTTTATATCATGCGTGATCAAATGTATGCAGTGCGTTTAGAATGAGAGTTTATTTATATACTTATTATATACTTCATTGTATAACGACAATTTTTCAGTTGTCATGAAAACATACCGTAACATACAACATTTAATAATGTTTGTTCACTTGATTTCCTCTGTATGAAGCTTTCAAACATTGATAACAATATTATATCAATTCAAATTATTTGTTGAAATTGGGAATGTTATGTACAAAAACAATACATTTGATAGTACTACATTGTACATTTCTCTTACATTTTGATATACAATTCGTTTAAAGGAAGAAGGTAAAGGTAAATGTAGAAGAATAACTCATAACTTGCAGCGTCCATTGTGCTGAAATGTGGTCCGTGAATAGCAACAATAGCAATACAGCAATAGCATCTTTTTGACATATTGTTTGGTGATGATTTATAACCTGATTACATTTATATCTATTTACCAATGGGCATAATAACCAAACAAAATTTATGTTGAGCACAATTTGTAAACCCTGCGCAGTTTCGAACCTACACGAACGTTTCTGCTAATATGAAGGAAAGAGCCCAGACGTACTAACCATTATTCCCACTAACCATCATATTAAGAGATGGAATAATTTCTTTTGACGGCCGAAGACCGATACATGTAGGTGTATAATAGGCCTATACAGACAAATATTATAGAAATTTTTTTCTAAATTTCGATTAAATTCCGCTCAACATACACAGTCGTTGATATAATTACATTTTACAAACAGAAAAGAATTCAATACCAACTTTTGATAAAACAATATAAAACCAAACTGTGTATGCATGTCCTTTTTTAAATCTTTGTGCAGGCTATAGGCAGTGCTTGCACTAAAATGCTTATAAATATACTTCATATTGATTTTAGGGGCAAATATTATTGTTCAAGAATTATAATTGATTTGCTAATAAATTCAATACATTATTTTTTATGTTTACTTATCACTCTGCATTAAATGCAAAAAAAGGAGAAAATATTATAGTAAAAGAGCATAGGTTAAAATCCCACAATTAAGCTTTACAAAGGTTGATAGTTCCTACCCTCTACTCAGCAATCACTCTCCTGTTAATTCATCATCCATTAAGTCTCGATTTTGAAGGCTTTTAGAGAAACAATTCAGACTACATTCTCTTGCGATCGGTTGCGATGTAATCGGTGGTAATCCAAAACTGATTACTCCCGATCGCAATCAACGAACGCATTCGGACCAACACAAACAAACTTTACATTCTAGGGCCTAGACCTCTGGTGGCTAGGCCTATGTTGCCTGACCTCAGCCAAACAGTGCCTGTGGAATTCGTTGTGATTCGTTGCGATCAGATTCCGTGGTAATCGGCAGTAATAAAGATTGTAGCACCCAATCGCAACGGGTAACAATTGCGATATCGATTACATATCGACTACTATTGGTGAGCTTTCACACACGATTTTACTTTGCGATTGGGTGCGACTGGGTGTCGCAATTGCTACAACCGATCGCAATGCGATGCTAGTCTGAATGGGGTATAAATAGGGTAAAAATGTTAACCATGATAAGGACCTCAATTTATAACTCTACACGATTCATTCAATGAAGATAAATACGTTTACCATTTTACAGAAAGAACAAGAGTGGTGAGAAATCAGAGTGCCTGTACCAAAGTAGCATAACGATAATCAAAACAATATCAAGATACTTACAGTCAGGGCTTATACAGGGTGCGGGGCATTACTACAAAAATAACGTGTACAGCCTACTTAATGTAAGTAACATGCTATTTTGCTCATTCTTATACCCCGTTCAGACTAGCTTCGCATTGCGATCGGTTGTAGCAATTGCGGCACCCAATCGCAAAGTAAAATCGTGTCTGAAAGCTCACCAATAGTAGTCGGTAAGAAATCGATTTCACAATTGTTACCCGTTGCGATTGGGTGCTACAATCTGAATTACTCCCGATTACCACGGAATCCGATCGCAACGGATTCCACAGGCACTGATTGGCTGAGGTCAAACAAAACATGACGACCTATATCGTTGCTAGTGATGTAAAGTATCAAAGTAAAAAGGTGTCTGAATGCTGTCGAAGTTTGCGAATGGTTGCGAACAATTTGGATTACAACTGTTTACCTCCGATTACATCGCAACCGGTCGCACTGCAAAGTCTAGTCTGAATACGTTACCTGATTCAGTTAACATTCATTCCTAAACTTTAATTTCAGGCAATGAAGGCGAGGCTAGAGCCTTCATACAAATATTATTTTTATATACAATGAAATACTTTTAAATAAATAATATTATAATAGGTATATAGGCGTAATAATAATAACAATAATAATAATGATGATGATGATGATGACAATAATAATTATAATAATATAACGCAAAAAAATGAGAAGGCAGACATTCCAACCCCCGAACGGCCAAAATCGATCCGGAAAGCGGGATCATTAATTTTGTTCAAAAGCGGAACACAACATAGGCCCTACGTTAGGACAACTTATGCGTACCCTCATGTACTCTCTAGACAGGCATAGCGGGACGTGGGCAGGGGTGGCGGCAGAATTTGCCCGACCGGAGGGGCAACGGCCACTACGAGGGGGACGATTTCCCTGACGAGATCAATTTAGGGGTTTCAAAGGCTTAATTAATCCATTTTAGAGTCTACTAATATATAAAAAATACATATATTTTTTTTCTCCCCGACGAATTGTTTTTTCTCCCGACGGGGGCCCTGACCCCCCCACCCCGCTCTCGCATCCCCTAAACAGGGGGAATGTGCCCCCTATTCCCCCATTTTGCCACTAAATTTTAAAACAACATATAGATCATACAGAATAAAAAAAAGTAAAGAAAAAACATCGCATCAAGAAAATCTAATCGACAAAGGAGATAAGCCCAGACCCGTCCATATAAAACAGGACATGTAAGGGATAAATGAGGGACATTTGCAAAGAACTGGGTTAGAGGACGGACAAAAAATATATAAAAATATATATGATTCGTAGTTACTCGAAAATAAAACCGAAAAGTTGCTTAAAACATTAAAAGCGGATATTTTTTTAAATTATTATTATATATAATTACATATTTGTATAAGATATCGAATAAGTATTAAACAATAAAAACACATAAAATGAACAAACACATAAAAATAAATTACCGGTAGTTTAATTTATTAACATCTCTTTCGTATCGAGATTAATCACTATGTTTCTTCTGCGTATCGCACTCCGTCACTATACCACAACATGGCTTGTCGTCTGTAGGGCCATTGGATTCAGAGTATCCTCCGAGATTTTAATCTTGATATTTATCGTGATTATTTTTTTATTTAGAAAACTTTAAAAGCGGGACAATTCGGAAGTTCGGTGGGACAGCGGGACACGACTCCCAAAAGCAGGACAATCCTGCCAAATGCGGGACAGTTGGAACCTATGAGTAGGCCTACTTATAGAAAACAAATGATTTTGAGCTAAGATTATCTTCACAATATTTTCGGGATTTTTCATATTCTAGATCATCAACTTTGTGATAAAACATCTGTAGCCTAGCACTTAATTTGTCATCTCTTATTCTTTGAATTTTTTGCTTCTGTTTGTCTTTCTTGTCTTTATGTTCGCTCTCCGTTGCAGCAAGGATATTATCAAAATGTGTGAGTGAGATCAGTTCCTTCTTTGAACGGACTTTACCCATCGTTGGTCTCTTTCGAAGGTGACGAAAACTGGAGGATCTGTTTGTTGCTATAGTGCGCAAAGTGTGCCTTTCAGCACTTTGCTCGTCCTGATCTGATAGGGCAAGATCAGTGTCAAGTCTTACCGAAGCTTTAACCCAAGATATTCGTTCTTTCCTAGGTATTTGACACGGGTTTGGACATTCCCGGTTTCTCAATTGGAACTCAGATGGAAGATCTTCGGTGAAGTCAACTTTATGTTGTACTGGAGCTTGCAACACTCTCTTATATAGAAGACTTCGTACTCCCATTCTAATACCGTCACCGTCATCATCTGTGTACTTATTTTCTCTTAAACAAAACTTTCTACGGAGTAACACTGCATTAATGCCTTCCAGTGCTTCAGTGTCATCGCTGGTGCAGTCAGTTGAATCTAGTTTGCTTTGTGTCCTGGAATCGAATCGCTCATCATCTGTCTTTGAAGACTCACTGCGAGACGAGCGTACCTTTCGAGGAGAAAATGTATTTTCTGCCTTCCATTGCAAATTTTCGGTTTCCTGGTAAAGAATAAAATAGAAAAAAAAAACGTGTCAGGTGTGATACAGTAATAAATGTAAAAAAATGCTAACGACCATGCTATTGAAAATCGCATAAATTTTGAATAGTAAATTTACGAGAGTAAAGTTGATAAGTAACACCACCACTATCACACGCACCTCTTAACTTCCTCATTTTCATGCAAAAATAAGAGACAGGAGGACAGCAGTAGAAGTATAATGCACATAAAGTGTCTGACTGTACTGTCCAGTCATATGCGGCATTATTGCTATGTAAATAATGTGAAATGAGATTTTAGATTTATTTTTGTGCATTTTGCGCACACACGGCAAAATCCATATTTTCTTTACACTGTTTCATGTATTGATGTATTTTTTTGAATGTGCAGCTATGGTTACTCTTAAGATTTACAAACATAGGCCTATGATATCTTGCCGTTTGAATCTATTCATCATATATATAGGCTATCGATATTTGGCTACGAAAGGATGAATTATTAAACAATAAACGTTGATGACGTACCACCTATATGATTCTGCAGTAATATACGGTATGCTTATCATTCAATAGTTATAGTGTAAATGACAAACACCTGTCAATGGCTCAACTATAATCATATCATGTGATTAAACATTTCAAAAGAATTCAAGAATAATTAAAAGATGGGAGAGTGGTCAATCTTTAAACGACCACAGTATATTCGTCTGCTTAATCAAATGACAGATTTTATTAATGTTTACATCTAAAACCCATTCCAATGTCATAACTAATGTCATTCGATACACATGCAGTTGACATTACATATTATAGAAGATTTTTATTACTGTGTTTGTTAGTTCTCTGTGGTTAAATTGTGATTTAATATCGATGTTTGCACTCAAAAGCCATCTCAAAATCATCGTTACTGCCGTGCCTTCATAAGCGATCGAAATTATTTGCATTATAATTATGTTCGCCATCGATTATGTGTTCGAGAGATATATAGTTTATAAACCGGACATATTGCATTGCATAACCAAAAGCAATTTTGAAGCAAGTAAAATAATCCGTTTTTGCTTGGTTGTTGTTTGGTGTGTTTGCATTATAATTATGTTCGCCATCGATTATGTGTTCGAGAGATATATAGTTTATAAACCGGACATATTGCATTGCATAACCAAAAGCAATTTTGAAGCAAGTAAAATAATCCGTTTTTGCTTGGTTGTTGTTTGGTGTGTTTAAGTATTATCATAGTTTGGTATTTTGCTTGTATCTGTTAAAGTAGTGTTTTTGTTCTCTCCTTTTATTGATTTGATTGAATTTTGTGTTTAGAGAATTTGTGAAATTTTTCCTTGGCTTTTATTTCAATTATTCTGGTTTATGTAATGACATTTTTTGATTTTTTGATTTTGGTTTATTTTGCGTTCAGTTTTTGTCCGTGTTAATGAAATTGTTCTGTTGTTTTTAAGTTATTTAATACTATTTTACTTCTCCGTTCCGGAGGTTTTCTGAATACATTAGAATTGAAATTGAAATATTATTGGTGGGTCTAATGAGGAAAGGGAAAGAACGAAATATGAACTTACAATAAAACGGAGGAAAATCTATTTTTATATGTTGTACAAATGATTTTTTTAAGAGACAAAAAGCGTGTCTGACGAAAAACTCGGGAACAGTAAATGAGATGCAAATTTTGAATATTTAACTGGAGGAAAGGGGCGTAACCACCATTTCCACCTCCCTCCCCCAGTTTTTAAATATTAAATTATCTGTATCTCATTAACTGTCCCGGATTTTTCGTCAAACACTCTTTATGTGTCTTAAGAAAGTCAGCTGTACAACATACCGGTATCAAAAAATGTTTTTCCTCCAGAACCTGGCTTTAATGTACAGTACTGTCTGACAATTTCTGAAAATCAATCCAATCAATCAATAATTTGTTTATGCAGTCCCATATCTTTATTTCCGTTACAATGAGCAACATATTTGAATTCATTCAATTTTTCACGAAACAATTATATAGGCCTATATAGGCCCATTTGAAAAGAAAATTACTTTCTTAAATTAAAAATACATAGCAAAACTGAAGAATTCTAATTTTTAAATTTAATATTGTTGAAGTTCATTAACTCAAAATACAGGCCTAAGAATAAATGAATATATCTTACTGATTCTGTCCCACTTCGCTCTGGATTTATCATCATGCTCATTTTAATTTCTCTTCTTCTAAAGTCAAACACAATTCGAGAGGTGTCAACACTTGTCAGCGACCTTGCTAACGCTTTTTGTCGTTCAAAACGTTTCAGATGTTGGTATGCTTCAATCTCCTTCGCTTTGATTTCCCAGACGTTCTTGCACTTCTGTATATTTAGACGTTCGAGCGAAAACGCGAGCTCGTCGTCCGCGTGCCTGTTACTTATCCTCGCGTTGCTTTGATCAATCGGCACAAAGCCGGCAAATCGTAAAAGTCGACGACTATGTGACGAATCATCCATGTTCACGTCTGTTTATTGGCGAGAGCTACTCTGATTGCGTCAATAATGTTCCGTCTTTTGTTTAACGAATTATTGTTCGATCCAAACCCGAATCAACATGATTTCGTAGATGCTTTTAACTGTGTTCTAAGAAACGAAGGCCATTCAGTACTTAGGCCTAGGCTTAGTAGAATGATTTATGGTTAATCTAGAAATAATATATTAGCACGACTGAATGATAAGTGATGATGATCGTTCATTACGGTACGTCGTGATTTGGTGTTGCCGTTAGTAATTTTATACATCAATGAAAAAAAAATCAATGATGGTCAATAACAGTAGCTAACAATCAAGATACACTCTTGAGATACGATTCGTTGAATTCTTCCATGTGGACGATGATTTGAATTCTTCGACTAAACATCTTAGCGATCCATACGTTTTAATACAGTACCTTCACCGGAAACACTAAATAAAATGAATTAACTTTGTAATAATGTAATAGTATATTTAGGCCTATGAAAATACGTCTTGCCTTCAGTTCAGTATCAATGTCATCTTCAATGGTATACACAATGGCTTAAAAAGGCATTTATATATATATTAAAATCAAGTTCTGCAAAGAAGTACACACAATATAAGCAAATAGATAAATAATAATTATAATAGTGCTCGAATAGGAACATGTTGTAGTACAGTAATCGTATCAAGCATAGCTCATCAACGAAAAAAAACCCACCTATATTTCAGTTGTATGAAAAATTGCCTCTAGCGGGATTCGAACCTGCAATCTCTCGCTATCAAGGCGAGTACCATACCAATTCCAAAACTCTGTATTGAATATGGGAAGCACAATTTCGTTTAGTTTATGCCCTGTACACAGTAGTAGCTGCCATATCAACATTGGCATGACACTGACTACAAATTATTCTCATTAAGATATATTTAAATTTTAATGAACATTGTATTCACGTTTTCTTAAACTATTGAATAATGTTTAGGCCTACAATATAATACAGTTGTTTATCTAGTTACAACTATACATTGTGTAATGTAATTTGATAGTTAATAATTCAGATGAATCAGGCGAGGTTAGAATTAATATCTCAATTGTAATACACCTTCAAGCTACCAAAATTAACATTATTTTTTACAAGATACTAACACAGTACCAAAATGTATTGGAGAGGTGTGGGGGAGTGAAGGTTGACAATGAACCCATGTAATTATGTCTTGTGCTATCTCAACTTCATCATGAAGCCTACAAAAAAAAATAATATTAATTTGTAACAGAGGTCTGGCGTTAAAAGAAGAAGAGGATGCCAAAAATAATATTACAAAGATAGCTCAGTGGACTCTATGTATTTGACAAAGGAAAGAAAGGAGGCAGAGAATGAATAGATTGAACAGGAGTGAAAATTACTTGAGGACTGTTGGAGAAAAATGGAAAATGGAGCTGAGGAGGTGCAGGTGTATGCATTAGTATGGATAACGATCTTTTTTAAGAGTAGGCCTACGATTGCGACCACTCTACAATACCCATTTTCATTTTACCTATACATGCATTCTATTGTCTTCTCCCGTATATTGCTCCTAAATTCATTAACAAGACACATCAATAAACATTCCTCCAACAAAGC